TGAAGTTCTGCTTTAAGTACCCCAAACCGCTCCTTTAATGTGCAATGATCTTTGAGAAAAGCATTCACATTAAACAACAGTCTAAGTAGATGTTTACTTGATTTAGGAGGAATTGTTCTACAGGCTCCAGACTTTCCGAAATGAATGTATTCCTTATATATGTATGTTGTCTGAAGGGAAGATTTTTTTTATTACTTCCCAGTAAACCTTTGTTTTGATGGTGCCTGTTGTGATATACATTCATTTTCATTATCAACTTCTACGAGAAGACTTCAAATGTGAAAACTTGCTGACATTTACGTTAGTTCAAGCTGATTCTATGACCTAGGGCCAAGTGGAATTAGAGAGCCCATTAGACCACAAAGTAAGAATATGAACACATAGGGGCCAATTTATAATGTAGAGCAGATATCAATATTAGTTCTACTTTATATTTACAAACTGCAGGCAATTTGTGGAGCATGCGGGCGGTTATACAGTTCTCTTTGCTTAACGCAACCCAGAAAACTAGGTGATTGGAAGAAAGGTCAGTCACATGACTTTGTCATGTAAGCTGTCCTTCCAGTTTTTTTCCCCGATTCATATTATTGGTATAATCTCTACACCGACTTTGGAGATCCACACCTTGCTTTGCTTTAACTCTGCATTTTACTTTGTTTAAGCAGCAGTAAGGCCAAAATAAGGCCACATCGCTCCATTTAAATTGCACTCCTTATTGTTTTGATGCTCCCTGATTCATTTATATATCTTTCATTGCGTCTACAATTGGGCTTCAAGTTTATCTGAATGCACGCTTTGAATTTTCACAGCTGCATTGTCTTCTGGACAGCAGTAATAGCTCACTGACTGCTCTCATTAGTTGCCTGAAATGGCTCTTTCATTATATGGAGGAGAGGCCTGCTACGGAAATCAATATAAAGATTCCTTTATAGAGAAGAGAAGGTCAGTACAGTAAGTCAGGGCATGGCACATCTGTAAGTACCTAAACAACATATTGCTGGGAAGATTAAATTCCTATTTCAGTTGCTGAAACCATTTAATTAAATCCGTGACTCCTACAGTCTGATAAATAAAACTAATACTGTACTGAGTCCTGAAATTATTTTTCCTCCCATAACTGTAAAAATGTAGGAGGGGTATATGTATAAGTAAACCAAGCTGCTAGACACAGGTGACAGAGTTTATTAATTTGCCCATTGCAGCCATGACAAAGCACGCATAGGGGTCTATTTATTTGTTTCAGGAATGTCAGAAGCATTTGTGTCACTGTCATTATTCTAAGACAGGGGTCTGCAAACTGCGGCCCACGGGCCGGATTTGACCCTTTGCTTGTCTTTATCCGGTCGTTGGTGCACTCCACTGATACGAGGCACCATCTCTGATACTGACAGGGCACTATTCCTCCCACTGACCAACAATGGGACACTATTCCTCCCACTGACCAACAATGGGGCACTATTCCTCCCACTGACACCAATGATGGAGCACTATTCCTCTCACTGACACCAATGATTGGGGCACTGTTCCTTCCACTGACTCCAGTTATAGGGTACTATTCCTTCCCCTGACAACAACAATGGGGCACTATTCCTTCCACTGACACCAATTATGGGGCATTATTCCTTCCACTGACACCAATTATGGGGTACTATTCCTCCCACTGACACCAGTTATAGGGCACTATTCCTCCCACTGACACAAATGTTTGGGCACTATTTCTCCCACTGACACCAATTATGGGGTATTATTCTTTCCACTGACACCAATCATGTAATTTTTTTTACTTCCATTTAGTAAACCAGGCCCATAGCGTTTTCTACTCCCACTGACGACAGTCCGGCCCCCGTAAAAAACTGAAGGGCAGTAAACTGGCCCTTTGTTTCAAAAGTTTGGAGAACTCTGTTCTAAGAGATAAATTCCTGTTATCATCAGCTCCACCTAATGGCCAAAATGCAGTATAGTTTTCTCATTGAGGTATTTCAGAAAATTATACATTTTGGCCACTAGATGGAGCTGACGATACAGGCATAAATGTCTTAGAAAATATACAGTAACACAGCCTTTCTCAACCAGGGTGCCTTGAAGTATCTTCAGGGATGCCTTGCAAAATGCTAAAAATGTCTATAAAATCCTTTTGCTACCTAAGCCAAGGTTTTTTTGTGAACCATTAGGACCTTCTAGCAACCGGAATCCTGGCAACCAATGACATCATCAGTTGATAAGGAGGATGCCAGATGCCTGCACAGCACCCTAGTTTGACCCTCCCCTGCCCCTCTCCATCCGTGGTGGGCTCACATTAGCTCAGTGAGGGAGAAGAGAAACACTGGAATACAAGTCAGTACCAGTGTGCAAAACTGTATTTGCTTTGGAAGAATAAATCACCTATAATGTTGGGGGTTCTACATGTGTGGATGTTGCTCTGTTTATATAAAAAACTATTAGAATAGTTTTTCACATTTTAGAATGCAGTGTCTTGGGACTGTCCATAATTTTAAAGGGTGCCTTGACTGAGAAAAAGTTAAGAAACACTGCAGTAACATCCCATTCAGTTTGCATGAATGCTCCTGACCATCATCCCAACAAATCTTTTATAGATAGACCCAACAACGTATCAACGTTTAAGCCCCAATTATTTACACAAATTATGTTCTAGTCCGGTTCAGTGGAAAATAGGAGAGGATTCATTGCCAAGTACCAAATTATATTTGGGCATACTGGACTGCACTATTCTGTTGGGTTTATAAAATTACATACATTTTGCTTGCAATAAAAAAGATTTAATAAGGATTGTGAATATTTTCTACATATTTAAAATATTTAATTTGGATGTATGTTGGAAATGCGGATTCCTATGCCATTTTTATTATATGTGTCACTTAAAGGAAAATATGTCCCTGCGTTGGGGGTGCCACTACTTGAACTTGATTGCTGGTACAATCAACAGGTACTGTTCTAGGATCTGTACTTGCAGAAAAAGTACTTTACATAAAAGAAAATTAATGCAGCGACCAAATCTAAGGGCTGCTAACCTGCAATATAGTAAGTTACTGTTCTTACTTGAGATACACATTAAAGTGGAACTCCACCCTCACTATCAAAAGTAAGTTTTTGAAATCTTAAAACTTGTCCCTGTATAAAAGTAAAAAATTATATATATACACACACACACACACATATATACACACACACGGTGATTAAAAATTCCAGGAGGCAGTTTGCAGGACCGCACGCATGCATAGAAACACAAGAGATCCCAGCATAATCCATAGTGTTCCTGTATACAGGTATGTGTGGGGTCCAGATATGTAAAAATGTAAAAAAAAATGTATTTCTGTTATATGGAGGGGGAGGAGAGAAGGGGAGAGTAACATTAAAAAAAAGGAGAAGGTGGGGGGGGCACAATGTGGCGAGTTCCTGCATACAATCTAACAGAAGGGAAGATTTGTTCTGAGAGGAAGAATGGGGGGAAGAGGATTTGTGCTAGAAGGGGGGATTTGACAGGGGGGGTTTGTGATAGGAAGGGGTATTCGGGGGAGGGGGGATTTGTACTAGTAGGGATGATTAGGGGGATTTGTGCTAGAAGGTAAAATTGGGGGGGATCTGTGCTTGAAGGGGGGATTTCTGCTAGTAGAGGAGGATTTGGGGGGGGGGGGGTGGATTTGTGCTCAGAGGGGCAACTTGGGGGTATAGGATTTGTACTGAGAAGAAGGGGAATTATTGTTTGGGGCAGAATTTTGACTTGCAAAGCGAATTTATGTTTGGGGGTAAGCATACAGATTAGTGCTTGAATTTTTTGAGGGAGAGGGAGGGGATTTTTGCTGACACGTAATGCTCGTACATCTTGGGGGGGTTGCCATATGGCATCTTCACTCCAGGCGCTGCATGACCTTGTCCACACACTGGGTTTGCTTTATTGTTAATGAATATTTAAATGTCTATATTCAGAAGTGGAGGAGTTTGGATTGATTTCCCACATAGCCAAACAAGCTGAACCAGTGTACAGGTAGGCTATGTACTCTAAGGTGGGTGGAAATTGATTGGAACGCAGACCGTGGTATTTAGCTCGGCTCATTTAAAGACCAGAGAAGAGTCTGAATTATTCAGTAGGGTGGAGGTCATCTTGAATTGAAAATCCAGGTTCTGCAAGATATAGAAGTGTGTGGGTGGGGGTTCTATATTTTGAACACCCATTTGTATCTAAACATTCAATAGAAGTAAATTGGATTTCCATATTGTGGGGCAGAGGTGACAAAGGTGGCAAAGGTAACATCTCATACTTAGTAGCTGAACTAACAGAAATTGAAAGGCCTTATTTGTGGCAATCGAGCAGCTAACACAGAGATTATTTAAGCAGCAAAATGTTAAAGTGAATGTTCACCTTATAGAATGTTTTCAGATGCCATGCAAAACTTCTACTAATGCATATTAGACACTATTTATAAAACAATTGTTGGGCAAATGTCATATACATACAGGCTGCACAAACCTGGGGTGTAATTTCTGTAACTGATTATTTCCTATAATTGTCCACTCCATCTAGTGGCCAAAGTAGCATAGTTTTTTGAAATATCTAAATGAGAAGATAACACTCCATTTTGGCCACAAGATGGAGCTGATGATCATAGGAATTAATCGGTTGCAGAAATTGCATCCAAAATTTATGCAGCAAGAATGTATGACATTCGTCCAACAAATTACAAATTAAATAACAAATTATAAATAGACACCAATGTATTACTTCATAAAATATGGGGAATTTCAACATCTTCAACCAATGATCTTATAGCTTATTTTTTTAAAGCAAACCTCTCAAAAAATTTTACACTAGTCACCCCTGGCCATGCCACCAGCAAATGTCTACAACAGGGGTGTCTAACAGGATGACTCAATGTCATCATAGGCTGCATTAGTATTATGATTGCCCTTAAAGGGCCAATTGTATCTGTAAGACTAGATTTCAAGAGAACCCCACTGCCCTTACATCAGATGTCAAGAGCGCCCCCCCCCCCCCCATCAGAGGTCAACAGCCCTCCACCCTCCCTTACATCATTGGTCACCCTCTTTACCTTATTCTGCTGCTGGAAAGAAGCTGGGGGGGGGGTGAAAGTAGCTGGGGAGCAGAAAGTGCAGGACCTGGAGGAGGACCAGAGGAGTACTGGATTCAGCTGTTGTAGTCTGCTGAATGTTGAGATCAGGGAAGGTGGAGATGAGGGGGTGCTACAGCTGCACAGAGAGGTGCAGGATTTGTAGGAGTTCTGCCTTCCTCTTTGCTGCTGACTGCTGAGGTGGGAGGCAGAAACTAGCCTCTCTGCAGCTGCACAAAGAAGCACTGGATCTGGAGGAGGAGTTCTGTCCTCCTCCCTGCCGATGACTGCTGAATCAAGGTGGAGATGAAGGCAAGCGGGGTGCCACACTTGCAGGAAAGTGCAACAGCCACGTGAAATGGCCTCCTGGGCCAGATTCGGCCAGCAGGCCTTGTGTTTGACACATATGGTCTACAATATCAAGTATTTTCCTTAATGGTTTTGTTCCTATCCCTTTTAAACAAAGTCAAGACCTAAAGGGCCCAAGCGCTACAATTCAGCAGTAAGTGACACGCCATTATGCACCACCCTTAGCACAGTCCCATGTGTTACTAATGGCTGTAACAGGAGTCTGCAAAGAGTGCTTTTGCCAGCTTCATGGACTTCTTTTTGCTACTAGAATGTGCAATTCCAACAACAGTCAACCTGAGCCTGCCTGCAAGCTACCACTAAGCAGTTCAGGTTGGGCACTGCGGATTGTCAGTGAGGAGAGGGGCAGCATGGGGTCTTCATGCCCAGTGAGACTATATTCTGCAAGTGTGCAATACTGGGGGTCAGTAACATACTTTGTTTACTAGGATGACAATGCTCACTCACTGTACTGTATCTATGGAGGAGCTGTGTTGTCACTCTAGGACAGGAAGTGTGTTAGGACTACAGAACACCTCCCTCTCACCTCCTCTCTATAACATAGGGGAGGTGTTCTATAGTTTAAAGAGGGAATTGGGAAGTCTGAAAAGAAGGTTTAAAGTAATACTGCAATGTACAAAGAACAACACTGATTTCTGGCAGGATCAACAGGTATTGTTTTGCACTTATCGAACAGATATAACAAAACACTCTTTGGGTATATTTAGATGTGCATCTCGATTTCCCTTTACTCTTAAGCCTGATCCACATTTGGATAGTTCTTCAGAGGCTACTGACAGGCAGAGAGAAAGCAATGTGACACCTCCTCACTGCCTTTTTTAACTCCATTTTTGCCGACAAATGTGATGCAACCACATGCATTGCACACGGTTGTGGGGCATTTGTGGCACTTCCCTATTTGCTTGAGCGAGTCGGGTAAAATTTGCTGCGGATGCAAAGTGAAGCATCACAAACGTGCCATATAAACATTCATTAAAAGGAAACTAACCTTCATACCCTCTACTACCCCGTCTATGGAAATTTTGAAAATTTTAAGGAAGCAAACAATGAAAACTTAAGGCATCAACAGGAAACATAATATATAAATGTCATATATTATAAGTCTGCTTGCAGACCATCAATAGGGTCAGGCAAAGACATCAGGATAAGAAATGTGATTCTTATCAATCTACAAGTGTAGACAATAAGTATTCCGTGATGTAAAGGATACAGATGGGCCATTTCGACAGCTCTGAGACCGGTCACTTATGCCCAGGAGGACATTGTACTTCATGAAAGACTCGTTGGCTGCTGCCAGCATGATGTCAGTGTTGGTATTTATCTATTATGACAGACAGATAACTAGAATTAGAACCAGAGGCAAAGGATACCAATCCTAAATCCATGGATTCTACTCACCTTTTTTTTCTGCTGATTGAGAATTATAATGACCACAGCCGTGACAATGACAGCGGTTAGAGTGACAGGGATACTGGTGACCCAGCTTTGACCACTGGTAAACATCTGTATGGTGGAGTAGAGATTGACCCAAAGGGAAATATACAGGATCTGGAGGGTTATAAACATGTGAACTTAGGACAGCTTATGACAAAAAATTATTTTCAAGCTTCCCATACACACTAGTAGAATTTTGTTTGAATGTTTGTACGGAAATTCTGAAAATTTGTTTGTCAGAGAATTTGATCTTGACATCACTGAGTAAACGAAGTTCGAAAGCCCTTCAAATTTTGGCCAGATTTGTCCAGGAAGAAACCCACATTCCCAGTTAAAATTGAATTCCTGCTCCTTTATAATTTCTCATCACTACAGTTTAAACTGAATTAGACCCCACTAACTATTAGAAAATTGTACTAATATTACAAAAATAAACATTTTGGAGATAATTCTGCTAGTGTATAACCAGCTTTACTTTTCATGATATATTTACAATAAGCACCAATTGTACTTAAAAAGGAATATCCAATTCTCCCCACCGTTTTAACTCACCAGCTATCAGGACTAGGCTGCGTAAGTTTTGCTTCAGATTCCCTTCCTGACTGATGAAGTGTGTGATCATTTCAGTACACATTGTCGCTGGACCTGGAATGGAGGGCCATCAACCCAACTGAAGCTGCTTACCATCTGCCAGTTACAGCAGAAAACAATATTCCTACTTTGATTTTACTCAGTAACAACATGTTCTTTGCCACGGAATTTCTGCTGGATGTATTCTACACCATTCTTGATAAACTTTAGAGTGGCCTTTCTCAACTAAGGTTCCATGGAACCCTAGGGTACCTCCAAAGCTTGGTAGGGTTCCTTGAGTAATGGGCAGTTTCTGACTCACCGATGAATTCCCACTGATACTATTGACCTTTTTAGCTATCTGTAAGGGGGGTCTACCCAATGACCACAAGTGTAAGGAGCATTTTTTCCACTGGCCATCTCACTAATGTACTGTGAGTTGTAGATACAGTAATTATTAGCAGGGGTTTGCTTCTCGGCCCTTTGGCTGTTACTACTGCTTCACATCCATCTGTAGTCTTGTTCACATTATTGTGTTGTTTACGTTATCTTTAAGTTTCTTACCTAAATTATGACTAATCTTAACCACTTCAAGTCCGGACACTTTCACCCCCTTCCTGTCCAGGCCAATTTTCAGCTTTCAGTGCTATCACACTTTGAATGACAATTGCGCGCGGTCATGCGACACTGTACCCATATGAAATTTTATACATTTTTTTGAGACAGATAAAGCTTTATTTTGGTGGTATTTATTCACTGCTGGGATTTTTATTTTTTTTTGCTATATTTTATTTATTTCATGTACTTATATAGTGCTGTCAATTTACGCAGCTCTTTACATATATATTGCACATTCACATCAGTCCCTAACCCTCAAGGGGGGGTACAATCTAAGGTAAATGAAAATGTCCAAAAATTTTGATAAAAAAATGTTTTTCTTATAAAATTTTGCAAATACCGTATTTGCCGGCGTATAAGACGACTGGGCGTATAAGACGACCCCCCTACTTTTCCTGCTAAAATGTAGTGTTTGGGCTATACTCGCCGTATAAGACTACCCCTCTTCCAATGCACACCAGTGGGAGGAATAGTGCCCCATCATTGATGTCAGTGGGAGGAATAGTGCCCCATCATTGGTATTAGTGGCAGGAATAGTGCCCCATCATTGGCATTAGTGGCAGGAATAGTGCCCTATCATTAGTATCAGTGGAGGAATAGTGCTCCATCATTGGTGTCAGTGGGAGGAATAGTGCCCCATCATTGGTGTCAGTGGGAGGAATAGTGCCCCATCATTGGTATCAGTGGGAGGAATAGTGCCCCATCATTGGTATCAGTGGGGGGAATAGGTGCCCCATCATTGGTATCAGTGGCAGGAATGGTGCCCCATCATTGGTATCAGTGGCAGGAATAGTGCCCCATCATTGGTGTCAGTGGGAGGAATGGTGTCCCATCATTGGTGTCAGTGAGGGGTGGAATAGTGCCCCATCATTGGTGTCAGTGGGGGGTGGAATAGTGCCCCATCGTTGGTGTCAGTGGGGGGGGGGAATAGTGCCCCATCATTGGTGTCAGTGGGGGGGAGTAGTGCCCCATCGTTGGTGTCAGTGGGAGGAATAGTGCCCCATCATTGGTATCAGTGACACCAATGATGGGGCACTATTCCTCCCACTGAGACTTGCTCCTGTCGTCATGGGCTGCTGCAGCCAGCATATGTGGTTGCAGCCACCTCTACACAGAACACTTACCTGCTGCTCCGGCACTCAATTTTCGCGGGGGCCGCTCGGCTCCGCCCCCTCGCCGGTGATTGGCCGCCTGTGTGCCTTTCCAGCTACAGTTCTGACGGCCAATCACCGGTGAGGAGGGGAGGAGCAGCCGCACGAACATCCAGTGGCCGAACTGAAGGAGACGCCGCGCTTCCTGGACCGGATCGTCGTGGGACTGGATCCAGGTAAGAGACATCAGCCCCTGCAAACCCCTGTACTTAATGCCGCAGCCCCCCTAAACATGTTACCGGCGTATAAGACGACCCCCGACTTTTGAGAAGATTTCCAAGGGTCAAAAAGTCGTCTTATACGCCGGCAAATACGGTAAATAATATTTCATCATAAATCTTGGCCAAAATTTATTCAGTTATCTTTTTAGTAAAAAAAAAAACCCAAATTAGTTTAAAACCAAAAATATAATTTTTTTTTAAAAATTTTTTTTTAAATTTTTATTTTATTTTTTATATTATTATTTATGTTTTTGTTTTGTTTTTTTTACATACTGTCACCCTAGCACTACAGTGTCACCATGGTGACACTGTACTACTTGTGGGGTGTGATGAAGATTTTTTTTTTTTTACACTGATTGCTTTTACACCCATAAAGGATGTAAAAGCAATCATTTCTCCTTCTCTCTGGCTGCATTCTTGCAGACATTGAGAAATGCTGTGTGAGCTGTGATTGGTCACAGCTTGTCACATGGTACAAGGCTGTTGTGAATAGCCTTGTACCATGTGACCTCTCTGATTATTTCACACATAGTAAGCAATGATGTCAGAAGTGACATCATGCTTACTACTCTGCATGTGATCACTGATTGCCAGGGAGCGCGCACAGCTTGAAAATGCAGGCGCCATTTATGAACGGCAACCCACCCCTGGACTGCCACCTTCCGGCCGTTTATATACAGTGGCCGGATGGCAAGTAGTTAATCTTTACAACCCTGCCCTCTTGCAGTTTGACCTTTGGTGTGAACAGTTTGCTCTGCTAGCTGTGTGCCTTATATTAACTTCTGACTGATTAATTGGCAAATTCCACACCCACCCACCACAGTATAAATCTAGATCAGCTTTATGGGGGAGCACATGGCTGGGGAGCATATGGCTGGGTGGTGCATGTTGGGGTTCTGCCAATAAAGTGGGGTTTGTTAATTAGTGGCATTTCCGCCACGTGATTGAACGAAGTAGGAATCTACAGCAAGCTACTTTGCAAAACACTAGAATGCAGGTGACCTCGTTTCCCCTTCAGCTCTCCTTCCTTTCTGTAACGTGCTCTCTACCTCTCCTTTTCACAGTCCTGTCCCCTCTCCTTAAATTCAGTTTCCTTCACCCCTCTTCCCTACCCCATAATCTACATATATCACCCTCACTTCTGACCTCCCCTTATCACTACACTCATGATCTCCTCCGAATTCTAAGCCCACATGCAAATAAAACCCCCAGGATGCTGAGGCAAGTCCCCTCATATAAATCGCACTCTCATATTACCTCCCTCACCCTTCTGCTTCTCTTAACCTCTGAAGACATATACCCAAACCCTGGGCCTCCTTTATTTAACCATACCCAACCAACCCATCACCCTGTACCCTGTGGCAGCAGCTGCAATCCACGCAACTTAGTTTCCATTCTTGCTATGAACTTTTTGTCACTAACTCCTTTAGCCACTTGCCTACCGGGAACTTTTACCTGCTTCATGCCCAGGCCAATGTTCAGTTTTCAGCGCTGTTGCACTTTGAATGACAATTGTGCGGTCATGCAACACTGTACCCATATGAAATGTTTTATCATTTTTTTCACACAAATAGAGCTTTATTTTGATGGTATTTAAAAAAAGTTTTTCTTTGTTTCTATTATAAAATTTTTCAAACAGGTAATTTTTCTCCTTCACTGATGTGCGTTGATAGGCAGCACTGATGGGCACTGATGAGACGGCACTGATAGGCAGCACTGATGAGCACTGATAGGCTGCACTGATGAGGTGGCATTGATGGAGGCAGCACTGGTGGGCATTGATGAGGAGGCACTGATGATGCTTCTCTGATATGCAGCAATGATGAGCACTGATAGACGGCACTGACTGACAGCACTGCTGGGTGGCACTGCTGGACACAGATAATCAGTGCCCTGATTATCGGTGCAGATCTGCTCTGTGACATTTGCCGGTTATCCGCAGTACTTTCCTCACACTGTAACAGCATGAGGAAAGTGCTGCTGATGACCGGCAACTGTATTTACTTTGTGATCATCTGTGTCATTGGACACAGCTGATCGCGTGGTAAAAGGCCGCTGTGATTGGCCTTTTACCTAGTCATGTGATCAGCTGTGTCCTTAGGACACAGCGATCACTGACAGCGCCGGGTGAACACTGCTGGGGAAGCGCCTTCTGGGAGGACGTCATATAACACAGTTGTAAAGTAGTTAATGTACTTGCGGTCACCAAAACCTGGCTTCATGAATTCGACACTGCTTCTCCTGCTTCCCTCTCCCATGGTGGCCTTCGCTGGACTCACTCCCTCAGACCTACTTGACGCAAGGGAGGTGGAGTGGAAATCCTCCTATCCACACATAGCACCTTTCAGGTTCTTCAATGTCCTCCCTCTTTGTTCCTCTCATTGTTTGAAGCTCAATGTATATGTCTATTTTCTCCAATTTCCTTAAGAATTGCTGTGGTTTACCAGCTCCCAGAACCAGTATCAACTTTCCTTGATGAGTTCTCTGCCTGGCTACCCTACTTTCTCTCTTCTGAAATTCCCACAATCATTCTCAGCAACTTCAACAAAGTTAATACTAACACTCCTGCTACTTCCAAACTTCTTAGTCTAGACCTTGTATTCTCCTACCTATGTACTCTATCCAACCTCTCCAACAATTCTTTTCCTCTCTCTGATCACCACCTTATTAGTTTAACTCTCTCCCTATCTTCCACCACCTCTCCCTCCAACCGTCTAGCAATTACCCATAGAGACCTTCACCACTTTAACCCTTATCTTCTCTACTCTGCTACTGACAACCTCTTTGACAAAATCTCACCCAGCCTGCCCCAATCTAGCCACTTTTGTCTACAATAGATTCCTGTCTTCCACCCTGGACAAGCTCGCCCCTCTCACTACACACAGAATCAGGCCCCATCCCCCACAACCCTGGCAAACAGATGACACCAGAAGTCTCAAAAAACGCAGCCATGCTCTTGCGCATCTGTAGTGTAAGACACAAAGACTTCAAACAATATAAAACTGCCTTCCAAAAATACAGTTCTTGCCTCCACACTGCCAAGCAGACCTATTTTATCACTCTCATTAACACCTTCTCATCCAGTCCCAATCAACTCTTCTCTACCTTTAACTCTCTACGTCGTCTCCACCACCTCCACCCACTAACTCACTCACTGCCCGGGAGATTGCCAATCACTTAAAAAATAAGATTGATATAAGTTGTGATGAAATTTCCACTCCACAGAAATCCCCCACTTAACACCCTATGTCCACAGATACGCTCAACACTTCCCTTATTCAACCCTGCTACAATAGACGAGGTTGCTAAACCTTTTTTTGATTGGCATTTGCCATTGAACACCAGAATTGGCAGGTCCACCGCTGGCGCCCTGTACTTTTCACAAATGAGAGCAAGTTCACCCTGAGCACATGTGACAGACGTGAAAGGGTCTGGAGAAGCCATGGAGAACGTTATGCTGCCTGTAACATCATTCAGCATGACCGTTTTGGTGGTGGGTCAGTGATGGTCTGGGGAGGCCTTCCATGGAGGGATGCACAGACCTCTACAAGCTGGGCAATGGCACCCTGACTGCCATTAGGTATCGGGATGAAATCCTTGGACCCATTGTCAGACCCTATGCTGGTGCAGTGGATCCTGGGTTCCTTCTGGTGCACGACAATGCCCGACCTCATTTGGCAAGCGTATGCATGGAGTTCCTGGAGGATGAAGGAATTGCTACCATCGAATGGTCCCCATGCTCGCCTGACCTAAATCCAATAGGACACCTCTGGGATATCATGTTTCGGTTCATCTGACGACGCCAGGTTGCACCTCAGACTGTCCAGGAGCTCAGTGATGCCTTGGTCCAGATCTGGGAGGAAATACCCCAGGACACCATCCATCGTCTCATTTGGAGCATGCCCCGATGTTGTTAGGCATGCATACAAGCATGTGGGGGCCATACAAACTACTGGGTACCATGTTGAGTCGCTCCAATGAAATTTCAGCAAAATGGACTAAGCTGCTGCATCATTTTTTCACTTTGATTTTCAGGGTGCATTTGAATTCAGTCCTCTGTAGGTTGATCATTTTCATTTCCATCAAAAGATGGGGCATCCTTACGTTCCTAACACATTACCCAGTCCATATCAGTATAGATACCCAGCATGATATTTTTCCTCATTGAGATCTGATGTGTTTTCAAAGTGTTCCTTTAATTTTTTTGAGCAGTGTGTGTAGATATATATATATATATATATATACACACACATATACACAGACATATATACAGGCATACCTTGGTTTATGAATGCCTCGGTTAACGTAATTCTCAGTTTACGAATGAAAATCCACTGAAAATAATGCCTAGGTTTCTGAAATTTTTTCGCAATACGAATGGATTAATTGGTTTTCAATGCATTTTTTTTATCATGTCCCTGTACAGTATTTATGCCTTTAAAGTGCACTTTATAAAGAGTTTTGAACACAGTGCTTCTGATGGATACAAGAGATAGTGTTGAATTATGCAGGTCCAATCCAACCTTGGAACAATTGTTCTCTAAATGGCCTTTGTACTAACACATATTTGGAGAAATTTTAAGAAGGGGATGCAGACATCTGCTCAGGGTTTAGCCAGGGAACC